GGGGAAGGGAGGAAGGAAGGAAGGAAGGAAGGAAGGAAGGAAGGAAGGAAGGAAGGAAGGAAGGAAGGAAGGAAGGAAGGAAGGAAGGAAGAAAGAAAGAAAGAAAGAAAGAAAGAAAGAAAGAAAGAAAGAAAGAAAGAAAGAAAGAAAGAAAGAAAGAAAGAAAGAAAGAAAGAAAGAAAGAGAAAATCAAAGACAAGGATCCAATCATAAACCAATCCAAACACACTTCACAAGAAATGTGGCCGGCGGAGCTGCTGCGCGAGGAGCCAAACCCAGGGCAGACTCAAAAGAAGTCAGGAGGCACCAAGCTCTGGGGAACATGCCCCCGGCATGGAGTGGGGCCACTGCCACAGGGCCTTATTTGGTTTTTTGAGGTGCCCTTGAGAGTTTTGGGGTTGTTTTGATATTTTTTTTTCTTTTAAATAAGGAAAAAGGAAAAAATAAAATAAAAGGGGAAGAACCCAGCTCTTTCGGTCTGAGGCTGCGGGACTCTTACCCCACCTCCACCCTCTCTGCCTGCTTTGGTCCCTCCTTCCCACCATTCTGCCTGGCTCTGGCACACTGAGGAAGAGGAGCCCCAGGCCACCCCAGTCAGGGAGCCCCTGCCTGAGGCAAAGGTTCTCAGAGCAGCTCCTGGTGCACACCCCCTTGGAAAAACCCCAGAGAAAGCTGGCAGCTCCTCATGCCCTTCTAGGGATGGGCAGATGGCTCCAGGTTTGGTGGCACAGCCAGGTTTGGGGCAGCTGGTGGGCTTCTCCAAGACTGATGGAGCCCAAGAGCATCTCCAGCCAACAGGTATGAGAAATCAAAGTTTCTTGTCCTTGGCTCCAGCTAAAGAGGAGCTGGAGCCTACACCCAGGTCCCCACAACCTCCCTGGACATCTCCTATGCCAAGTTGGCAGGTATGGCCCCAAGCCAAGCACTGGCTAGAGCTGGTAAGAGCAAACACTGCTTTTGACACTCTGTCCTGCATCCAGCTCTCCCCTCAGTCCCCTCACCTTCATCCCCCACAACCATCTGGGGACATCCAAGCCTCCAAATTCAGGGAGGCTCACACTGACCAACGCAGCCGGGATAGCCAAGCCAGTGCCAGAGGCACACAGGGTTTTGAAGCACCTGTGTGTCCCCACTCAGCGGCACCATAAGGTCATCCCAAGCCAGGTGGGAAGTGCTACTTCCTGGGACAGAAATTCCCAGGACCAAGACCTCCAGGTGGCTCCCCTGGTTCATTTGGTGTTGGAGACACAGCAGAGGTGCACTTCTCAGGGTCTCTCCCAAAAAGGTACCCACATAAAGGAAGGCCCCGTCTGCCTTCCCCTGCCATCCCTCGCTACCAGTATGCTTCTCACAGCCCTACCTCAGCGGGAACCTCGCCAGGCGCCCGGGCTTGGCGGCAATCCCAGCCGGCCACCCCCTGCACCTCCGGGATGCCCCGGAGGTGGGAGTCGTGTCCAAAAGCAGTTCCCTCATGCGAAAGAGCTAGGTCCTTCCCGGCATGCTCTCCTAAAACCTCACCAACCTTCCTACTAAACTGAACAGGGGGAAGCGGTCGTAAAATGGATCCCGGCCATCACACAGCGGGCACTCCGGAAAGATGTCTTCCTCCAGGTCCTCCTCCTCCTCCTCCTCCTGCCCCTGGTGCTGCTCGTCAGCAGGCTCGGTGATGTCGGAGTCGGGGTTCGAGAAGGTAGGGGAGGGGGTGAGATCAGCCATGCGCTCGCTCATGCATGTGTTGAAAAGAGGAGAGCTGTTGCAGCCAGAGATATCTGAACTAAGGTTAGTACAACAAGATAGAAGACATGTTAACACCAGCTGTTCCAAACAGAAAGAACAGGAATCTTGCTTTTTTTTGTTTTTTCTTGGTTAGGTTTTGGGGTGGGTTTTTTGTCTGCTTAAATCAAGGGACATTGGGAACAAAGACCTGCCCATCTGGTGCATCTCTAAAGCCACCAACAGCCAGACAAAAGAGCAACCCATGGAACCAGTGAATGTTGGGGACTCCCTTTGCTGGCTTTGCAGGGAACGCAGGGACAGAGCAGGTGGCACAAAGGCTCGCCACTACTCCTGCTGCTGGAGAGAATCCCTCCTTGTGCTACAGCACGGGGGAATGCCTCCAGGCCACGCAGCTCAGCCCCCTGCTCCCCCTGCCCTGCCCTAGCCTTCTCCAGGGTGGCCCATCTTCATTGCTGGCAGTGCACCCTTCCATCTGGTGTGCAGGAAGCGCACGGAGACACGCGGTACACACGGTACAGACAGATGCTCAGACACCAGCGCGTGCACAGGGACACATGCCCACCGCAGTGGAGGTCACAACAGCACAGGCTCCCTGCCTGCTGAACAGCTACAGGCCCCCACACCCCCAAGCCTGGAGCCTGTGGCTCTCAGCACTGGGTTATGGAAGGCAGCAGGAGCGTTGCCAGCAGCTCGTGGGTCCCTTGGGGTGCTGGCAGCCAACACGGAGGAGAGTCATCACACCGGAGTCTCACAGGGGGATGAGTGCCCCGCACATGGTGGGCAGCGCTGGCAGTGTCAACTCCTGCAGGACTATCTCTGGGTCCCAGCCACGCTTTGAAGGAGCCAAAGCGCTCACCTGCCGACCAGCCTGAACCAGGGAAAGCGGTCGTAGAAAGGGTCTCCTCCAGTCACCACATTGTCACAGTCCTCGATGACACTGGAAGGCACTTCTGCTGCTCGGTCATACATCTCACGCATCAGGTCCAGGCGCTGCCTGCAGGGAGAGGGGATGCCGATGGTGGCAGTGAGACACAGGGCTGAGGGCACCCAAACCCTCCTGGCACAGCCATGTCTCACCCACCTCAGCTTCTCCAGGGTCCAGTAATGTGTTGCCCCGTTCTTCTGGTCCTGCACCTCTACAGCCACAATGGTCCGGGGGAAGGGCCGCTTCTCCCGGTCCTTGGCAGCATCGGGAGGCAGCAGGTCGGGAGGGAGAGGCGAGTACAGTGTGTCCGTGAGGAGCACAAACTGGAACTGGACCTGGAGAGGGGCAGAGGGGCTAGTGAGACACCTGGGAGGAGAGAAGGCTTCGTGAGCTGCCTCTGGCTGCCTCCCTTCAGCATGTCCTGGCTGCCTGTTCTTGTGGCCTCTGCTGTGGGTGCTGCAGTGAGCCAGGAGGGAGCCCGGCCACCCACCTTCTTTTTCAGCTCCACGCTGATGGCATTGGCTTCCTTGAGGAAGATAGCGTTGCCCCAGAGCAGGTCACGGAGGGAGGTGAACTGGTACCACTTCCACTTCCTAAAGGCCCAGAGGGCGAGCTCGAATTCCCGCTCTGTCCACTGCACTGTGGGGACATGGAGGGACAGTCACCCCACTACATCAACCCACAGTTCACTCTTCACGCTCCCACAGAGAGTATCAAAACCTCGTGGCAGCTCCCCTGCTCTCACCTTCATCCTCAGCTTCTTCCTCCTCCTCATTTGCCTCAGGGTAATACCTAGAATCCATCTGCTTCTGCAAAGCCTCCAGTTTGCTCTCATAGTCCTGGGGGAAACAGGAAGAGAGGTGATGCAACCCACTGGTGGCACCTTCCTAAATGCTGCCACATTGCACTGCTCTCCTCTGCAGAAGCACAGCCTCCCCCCTGCTCCGGATCAGTGCTTGTGATGACAACTCCAGGAACAACAGATTCGCACTTGTTTGTAGAGCACAGATCCACCCCACACAAACATCTGCCAGGATTTCAGTCATGCCTGGGCAGCCTGCGAAGGAGCCACATCCCGGCCACCTACCAGCCTCTGCTGCTCTAAAAGGTAATTTGCCTCTTCCCGCTCCCTCCGGTACTGGTCCTCCAGTTCCTGGAGCCTAGGTGGAAATGGAAGGAGGAGAGGATGACCAACCTGGAAGTGAACACCCAACTCCCCAGCACCTCTGCCCGTGGTCTCACCTCTGCTCCATCTCCTGTTTCATGTCAATGCCTTGCTTCTCCAGCAGCTCTCTCTGGGCAAATGCCCAGTCCACAGGCTCTGCAGGGGTCTCAGCACACGGCGTCCGCTCCCGCTCCTGCCGAGCCTGCTCGGGGTGGTTGAAGCGGAAGACGTGGCTCTTGCCCATGATGATGCGGTTTCCTGCAGGGATGTGCACGGGGTAGGGGAAAGGTGTGGGTTTAACATGGGACAAGTGCAAGGCCCTCATGGGAGGAGGTTGGGTCGGAGCAGCTCTGATGTGCCAGCCCCGGGGACCCACCTGAGCGCAGGATGCTGGGCTCTGTCACCTTTTTGCCATTCACATAGGTGTCAGCGCCTTCACAGGGTTCCAGGGTCACTATCACTGTGGAGATGGCAGGGAGAGGGGAGTGAAGGTAAGGTGGAAGGTGAAGGATAAATCCTCTGTGTCCTGCTCCAGCAGCCTCAGGAAGGGAGAGCTGCCTCAGCCAGCACCCCAGGTGTGGGTGGTACCCACCAGCAGCACCCACACCAAGGGCAGTTAACAGGACTTGGCCAACCTGATGTTAATCAGAGCAATCCCAAGCATAAGGGCAGCTGGAAATTGCATGTGAGAGGAGACCAGAGCCTCCAGAAGGCAAATCCTCCCTAGGCTCATCTCCCACACCCAGGTTCCTGCCAATTTTGGGGGGTGGATTCCACTCCACATCTTGAGTGGGAGATACCTGCTCAGGCATCCTGCCCTGATCTCCTCACTTTACTTTCTTCCCATATGCCTTGTGCGAGCTGCCCTCCCAGCCATGAGTAGCTTGTCTGGAAGTATGGAGAGGCCATATCCATGCAGGAAAGCCCAAGTTTGAGGAGGGCAGGACATTCAGCTGGGGGCAGGGGCTGAGGACATGCAGAGGGGTGGGTCCCCAGGGCAGTGAAGCCCCTCCAGACAAGCAATACCTTCACCACCACTTTTGGTGTCGCTGCGGAACAGGCAGTGCTCTTCTTTAATGAAGTGCCCGCTGAGAACAATGTCCTGCCTCTTCTCAGCATCTTCCCGGCCAACCCTGCAGGGGAAATCTAGCTCAATCCTCCATCAAAGCAGACCTTCCTGAGTCTCCCCCCAGCCCCATCCTTGCAGCTGACAGGAGCAACCCCTGGTGCACTGCAAGACCAAAATCTTGGGGGTTTGCACTTTGGGGATGCACTTTGGGGATGCCCTGGGAATAGTGCCCAGCCTGAGGACAGCTGTCACCCCACTGCCCACCTGGGGCAGTCAGGCACTGAGATATGGACAATGCTCCCACTGTTCCATGGGACCTGGCCCTCACCTTGTTATCCCATCCTTGATGTAGTAGAGAAGACACTCGGACATGAGCGGATCCTCATTCAGGTTGACCAAGTGCGGTGTCTGGGAGAGACGAACAAGGAGTCACCCCTGTGTGCCCTGCCTACCCAGGCACTGAGGGAAGTGGGGAGTTCAGCAGCACTGCAGGTTGCCTCTGCACAGACTATCCTGCCCTCTGTGTCTTCAGGGCGACATATCCAAACGGGTGTACTTGTCCAGGGGACTGCAGAGAGGCTGGCATGAAGACGCTTCTACAAGCTTCCTTGCTTTCCTCCTCACAGGGCTGGGTCCTAGTTACCCCTCCTCTGGCCACCTTCAAAAATTCATGTTCCAGACAGGCCCAACACAATGCCAAATCCTTCCCACAGGGAATCCCTGATATGTCTCAGAAGGCATGACACTTCTAACCTGTGCTGTGTATTATAAAATCATGTAATGTGTTGGCTTGGAAGGGACATAAGAACTCATCTCACTTCACCCCCATGCCATGGGTAGGGACATCTTCCATTAGACCAGATTGTTCCAAAACCCATCTAACCTGACCTTGAACAATTCCAGGAATGGGGCAGCCACAGCTTCCCTGGGCAACCTGTGCCAGGGCCTCATCATCATCAAAGCAAAGAATTTCTTCCCAATACCTAATCTAACCCTGCCCCATGTCAGGTCAAAAAGGAAGTAAAAGTGCCTGTTTTCCTCTACTGATTGTACACCAGATGATGCATCCAAAAAGAGCAGATCCCAGAGGTTCATTCAAAAGCAGTGCAGACCTGAAGCCTTATCTGCAGGCTGAATTTCACTTTCTGGTCTTCTTCATTCATAACAGATCCCTCACAGCCCTTTCTTCCCCTGGGTCTCAAACCACTTCGTTCTTGATTAGAGGAAAAATTCTCCCCCATCCACAGGCCTCTCTGGCCACAGGGATTACACCTTCAGGGAACAGGGGCAGTCCCAGGAGTATGAATCAGTGGGAGAAGTTCTGAGTTTCAACAGTGGCTGTAAGGAACCCCATATCAGCCTGTTGAGACCCGGCATGCAGAGGGGACCCCTCACCATGGTGCCACAAGCCTTGGCTGACAGCAGAGACTCACTGCAAACAGGGCAGCAGAGCTGGAGGTCACGGGAAAGGTGGGCTCTTCTCCGTGGTGGCTGGCAGAAGTTGGCTGTAACATTTAACCTCTGGCCCCACTGGATAGACATACAGCCTTGGGGGCTGAGACCTCCTTCACTTGCAGTTTTTGTCCAGATTTGTAAAGCTGAGGGTGACCTTCCACTGAGCTCCTGGAGCCATAACCACCCCAGCCACGGTGCACAGGAGGACAGCAAAATGCAATGCCCATAACAAAATGGAGTTTGCAAATATCAAAGCTAGCTTTCCTCACCAGCCACTGGAGAAGTCAGAAGAGTTTCCACCTGCCAGATAGCTGAAGAGCAAGGAGGCACCAAGACCACCACAGCAATGCCCCACCTCCAAGACCAACCTGCTTCGGGGAATAAACCCCCACGCTTCCTACCCAAAGGTCTGGAGTCCTAACAGGCAGCAGCTGGGACAAGAAAAACACAACAGTGTCCAAGTTTATCCTAAAAGTCAACTGGGCCACGTAAGGGGAAGGCTGTGAAGCCTTTATCACCACCTGAGCTGAGGACATATACACTTAAGAGGTTTGGCCAAGCCAAATGTTACAAGCAATAAAAAGATGGAATATTTGCCCACCCACATTTCTCAGCAAGGACTTGCTCGCTTCAGAGACAGCAATTTTAAATATCTGAAAGTATGAAATTTTATAAGTTAACACTCAAGTCCAAGAGAATGATCATCAGAAAATACCCTCATGAAGGGGGACAGCAAGCCAGCAGTAGAGGGTGGACATTCACCCATGGATTTCTACCCATGTTTGTACCCAGCAGGCTCAATGCTGGAATTTCCCTCAGAGGTTTCAGAGTCAAGAAAAGGCTAGTGAAGTATATGGGACTGGCCAGCTGTGACAGAGTGGATCAGAAGGGATCTGCAGGGGTACAAACCAGTCCCCAGGAAGAAGAGAATAGGATGATCCTACCTTTTTAGGAGAAAAAACGCCCAAGGTGCCTCCATCCTCCCTCATGGCCACCCCCATTTCAGCCAGCAATGCTTCCCTGAAGGAGCAAGAGAAAGAAGTGCCTGTCAAAACTCCATGCACCCCTGGGGCTAGTAGTAGGATGGAAGCCCATGGTTTGTCCCATGGATTGCAATGCAGGGTTTGCTACAGCTCTCATGACAATTCAGGTTTTTCAGAGCAGCACACCTGTGCAGCACACAACATGGTGGCCACCGGGGCTCCCAGGGGGCAAGCCAGGATCCAGAGGGACATTCAAACTGGCTGCCCCAAGATGCAACTGGTCTAGCAGAGTGCAGAGGATGGGAAATGGCCAAGGAACGCCACTTGTACCATCCCATCCTGTCCCATTCCACCGCAGCCCACCCACCTTTCCATCCGTATCGCTTCTGTCCTACGCAGCTTCTCCTCCCAAGTCTCGTTCAGCTCTGCAATTATTTTCTCTGTTTCCTGGCAAGGGTTGGTTAAACAGGGGGTTAGTGCATTTGTGGGCAGCACATCTGGCCACTCTCCCCAGCCTGCTTCAGTGGGACACCGGTTCCAGCTTCAGGTTTGTTTATACAAGCTGCAGCAGCATTTCACCCACATCTTTCCATCAGTCCAATCCTCAAAGAGTGAGGCACAAAAACCAGTCCACTCCTGTGCCATGCTGGACCAGGAGCACTCTTTCCATGACAGGAATGCCCATCCCAAGCCCGAAGCACCCGTCCCACAGGTTAAAGGCAGCCATCCCCCAGAAGACAGCACCAGGATGACTCTACAACACCCAGCCCCTCAGTCTGGGCAAGCTCTGAGTCTGTCCATTCTCCAAGAACACATTCAAGTATTGCTTCCCATGAGGATCACCCTTCATGGGCTTCCAGAAAACACTGAGCGCCCTCTGCATTGAGAGGAAAGGGAAAGGAGGGAGAGGGAGAGGGAGAGGGAGAGGGAGAGGGAACCAGGGCACCAGCCTCTTACCTTGAGCCTCTCAATTGCCTCTTCACTGCCTGGAGCAAACATGATGCGCTCGTGGAGGCTGGCAACCGAGGCAGCACGGCTGGACAAGGCAGAGAGGGAGGAAGAGGGGCTGATCCCGGCAATGGCATTGGTCACTGTGGAGAGATTGTCATGGCGGTGACTCAGCTCTGTCCCTTTAGCATCATTATTGTTCTCAAAGTCGGACACATCTATGGGTGTGGAAGGAGGGATGGGCCGGGGAAAGACACACAGACAGGATGACAGAGAAAGACAGAGACAAGAAAAGCTGTTGGGAAAAAAAAAAGAGTGGCCGGTGCATCGAGAAAAAAGCCAGAAATTACAGGAAAAGGCACAGGCAACAGCAGCACAGACAGCAACAGGACAAGGGCAAGCACTCTCTTCCCCAGCCTGGGCAGCCCCTCAGGGAACAGGGCTGTTTGGTGAAGCAGATGCTGGGAGCAGCCAGCTTGGGCTCCCAGGGACACTTTTTTTGCAACCTCAGGTCCTGCATCCATCAGGTTGGGGATCAAATGTCCTCTCCAAGTATGTGCCACACCTCTATCATGCTCTCCATCTCATACAGCCTGGGTGGGTTTCCCTTCCCAGACAACCCAGATAAGCCAGGTCTGGGAGCAGAGGATGGGAGGGGAAGGGGATGAGAGGGGGTGGCCCTCTGCCCTACAAAGGGGTCAGGCAGACAGGGCAGGAGAAGCTGCAGGATTCCCTCACAGGGTCTGCTCAAAGGAAGGCCATGGCCTGCTGGAGCAGCACCTTGGCCAGGCAGACAGGGAACGAAGCCAGGACTGCAGGCAGTGGCGCTTGCCAGCTGGCATCTCAAGAGTCAGCTGTGGTGGCTTAGGACCCAGGTATGGGAGATGCTCTTCCAGCCCTCCCAGAGGAGTTACTGGTTCTCAGAGCGGTGTGCCAGAGGCAGGCAGGTCACAGGTCAGCAGGTGCAGGATTAATCACCCATCTCCATTAGTCCACATCCAGGGCAGCTGAGCCAGGAGGGGACAACCAGGCCCCTGTCTCCTCAGCAGGCTCACCATAGCCTGGCTGAACTGCCTGACCCTGGGTGGGATGGGACCATAGTGCTTATCCATGGGCCAAAGCCTCCTGGCCACCACCACCCACCACTTCATCAATAGAGCACCATTGCATCCCACCCGCAGGCCGTGCCAGGCTCAGTGAGACACAGCAGAAGCAGCAGCAGCAGCAGCAGCAACAGGAAACATCACAACAGCATAAAGGAGGAGGTCCCCGTGCGGACTTGGCACGGCCAAGTGGGAGGACATTGGTCCATTCAGCACTAGCCCAAGCCCAGGTGCTAACCACAACTCTGGCACCACCATCCCCTGTGACAGCTCCCTGAGGATGGGCAGCCTGCAGGCACACAGTGCTCCATCAGCAGGGCCTTGCTCTGGGAGCCCTCCCCATGCTGCATGGGTGCCCCTGGGCACACCCCAGATCTCCAAAAAGCCGTGAAGCAACAGAGAGTACCAGTGATGGGGAATACACACATTTGGATCCTCCCGCAGCAGGATGGGCTAAGAGAGAAAGAGAGGGCAGGGAGCGGGGGTAAGACAGAGAGAACAGAACAAGAGGGGGTTCATCTCAGTAGGATATCAGACAGCACAGGGAGGGGAGCCCATGGGCATTGTGCAGTCCTAGTAACACCTTCCTGGCACCTCTGCCAGGCGCTGGATGCTGAAGATGGTGGGTGGAAGGGAAGAAGGGAAGGTTTGCTGGGCAGAAAGCAGCTCCCTCTGCAACAGGAGGGGACTGGGGGCTGTGAACATGCGTGCAGGGGCTCACCAGAGGCAGCATGATGCTGCTGTGGTGCCAGTGCAGCAGGATGCAGGGAGGCTGAGGGGACATCAGCCCTGCAGGCTGGCGGGACCTCAGCCCATCGCTGTCTGGAGGCACTGGCAGAGAGCAACCATGGTACCTACTGTCAATGATGTCCCCAAGGCCCTGGGCGTAGAGAAGGTCACGCAGTCGTGCCACCTCATCCTTCAGCTCCCGGATGAGCTTGTTGTTGGGGTCCTCATTGATGACAGCATTGCAGCGGATCTGCTTGGCACGGTCAGCATACCTAGGGAAGGGCAGGGTCTTGAACAACAGTGAGAACAGGGGCAAAACCCCAGCTGCTGGCCAAGCAAAAGTGTTGCAGAGCCCCTCCAGCAAGGGATCCTTTGGAGGATCCCAGTGCCAGGACAATCCTTTGGCCTTTTGTCTGGGCTTGCAGGTTCCCTCCACAGTACACCCCCAGCCAGGGACAGACAGCATGTGCCTGGGCCTCAGACAGCCTCCCCTGTTCTTGCTCACTGTAGGGAGAACAAGGGCACTTCTTCCTACCTGAGGGTGCTGAGGGTCTCATCGTAGTTGATGTCAGCAGGACTGAGAGCAGCGACCATGGCAGTTCTGGAGTTGCCTCCTGCCCAGTGAGATACAGCCATGAGGGAGACGCCGGTCCTTGTGCCCCCGTCCCACTCAGCTTGGCAGCCACACCCATCACCGGACCACACCTCCCAACTGTCCTCACCCAGGTTCTCCCGCAGCAGCCAGGTCAGCACCGAGTCTCGGTACGGGATGAAGTCTGTCTTTTTCTTCTTTTTATTCTGGGAAATGGAAAGCAAAGGGAAGGGCTGTCAAGCTGCCTGCTCTTCTGAAAGGGAAGGTGACAGCTGGTCCCCAGCCATGGGGACTTGGGGCAGGATGTCTCTTCCCAGGCACTGCAACCTTGCCCAGGTACATAGGTCCTGCCTGTGACATGCCCTGAGCTGGGAGGGTTGTTTAAGGCTGGCTACTGAAAGCCCCATAGGAAGGAGGAGGCTGAACATTCTGCCAGCCCCCAGGAGAAGGATGGCTCGAGTTCCAGGCAGTCTCACTCCCAAACCACCCTGCAACCCACTCCCACCCACTCACACTGTGCTCAAAACCAACACCTCTTTCTCCATTCAGCCTGGACACCTACCTTGTTTGGCCCCGAATCCTGCAAAGGAAATGGAGAGACTGTTTAAGGGAGATGCTTTTTTCCTTGGTACCACAGATCTCTGCCCCTCAAGTACAGAGTGGCACAGATCCCCCTGCAAATGGCATCTTCAGCAACCCAGCTTGTCCCAGCTGCAGAGACAGCTTGGGATGTGTCTGCCCACCCCTCAGAGCCGGGATGCTCCATCCCATGGAGCTGGGATGCTCCATCCCTCAGAGCTGAGCCCACCCCTGCTGGCCCGAGCCCATTTCCCCCCAGTGCTGCTGTTTGTCTGTTCTCCAGCTACCTACCATTTCAGCCAGGGCAGAGATGACTTTCCCCAGAGTGGTCAAGGACTTGTTGATGTTTGCTCCTTCCTGGATAGAAGAGGAAAAGCCCAGATGCTCAGGACACATTTCAGAGCCACATTAAAGGAGAAAATGTGGAATATCCAGTATGGTGTGGGCAAAGAGCAGCTGGTCTTACTGGGTAACCAGCACCCCCAAGCTGGGATTCATGGACCCTGGTGAAACTGGCACTAGGCAGCTTTCAAACAATCTGATCAAGGATTTTTTGTGGCACAGTGGGCAAGGAACCAGGCAAGGAAAGGAGATGTTTTGGCTGGGGATGAGGACAGAGAGAGGAGGACATGGTGTCCCCACCAGCAGAAGGGGATCTCAGGTCAGCTCTCACCTTTAGCCTTGTGCCCTTGGCGCCTGTGGAATCTGCTCGCTCACTCCCAGCCAGGTCCACCAAGCTGATTTTGCTGACCTGCAGGCAGAGGGGAGGCTGTCAGCCCTGTGGGCACAGCAAACCTTGCCCAGCACGAAGCCAAAACCTCTTGCAGGATGACACTGCTCTAAGGGCAGCAGTGGCCTCTGCCTTGTGGGAGTTGCTCAGGAGCAGGGCTAATATCCTTGCAGGAAGGGCTGAAGGGTACCAGCTGCCAGATATCCTGTCCAGGGGCCGGTCCCTCAAGGGACCACAAGCCTAGAAAGTGCCTGGGACTTATTCCCCTCCTGCTCCAATCCTCCACCAGGCTGCGCCACCTTGTCCCAAGCGCTGATGAAAGAATACAAAAGTTCTTTCTGGATCCACATGGGCTCCCCTGAGTCCTTCAGGCCCTGCTCTTACCTTCTCAGTGGTGACATCTGTCTCGGCATCATGCCGCTTCTGCGTGAAGATGATGTTGAACACAGCGTGGGAACGGCTGCTGGTCTCATTCATGTTGGTAGCAGCCACTGTGCTGCAGGGAGAGTAGGACAAGGAGGTGTGACACTCTGTGTGTGAGGGATGCTGGAGTGGCTGGTGGTGGGGCCAGGGCTCATGGGTACATGGTAGGAAGGCAATTCTAGAGGACAAGAGAGGACTCTGGGAGAAGATGTGCACAAGTTCAGGCTTTTTCCTATTGTCTGCAGTGCACTTGGAAAGTAAGAGGAAAGTGAGGTGAAAGCAAGTGGGGGGTTACCCAATAGTCAGTGAGGAGGGGACTGCCACTTCCAGAGCAGCTGGACTGGTGAAGCAAGGAAATTAAGCAGGACCTTCTAGAAGTGACTGCAAGCTTCCCAAACCCTGCCCATCTCCTCCTTTCTCAACTCACCGGGCTTTGTTTCCAGAGTCCATAAGGTCCTGGATGTCGTTGTAGGAGGTCACAGCCAGCTTGGAAAGGTCCTCAACATATGGACCCATAAGGGGATGTTCCCTCACCCGCAGGTTCCCCTTGTTCTTGGGGTTCAGGAGGTCCCTCACACGTTCACAGTAGATCTCCATGTAGCTCACCTAGAGCAGAGGGCACGCGCAGAGCTAGCAGAATGAGCCACCCAGGCAACCCCCAAAGAGAGGTCTGCACACTGGCACAACCTGTGGAGCCAGTGGTTGGAAGTGGGCTGGGCTGGCAGAGGGGTGCCTACCTCCACAGAATAGGACATGTTGTCATTCGTTGTGTCATTGATGCGGGAGAAGAGGTCCTCACACAGCTGCAGACAGAAGAGCCAGACTCAGCCCCCCTCCAGCAGGATGCTCCTGCCTGGAGTGCCCAGGATACAGGGATTTCTACCTTTTCACCTCAAAAACCAGCTGGAATGGCTCCTGGGGAGCTGGCAGAGCCCCCCCATGCTGACATGGAGAATCAGCATGCCCAGAGCCCCACTGTGCCCTGCTGGGCCAGCATGCGGCAGCTCTTCGTTAGCAGCTCAGCACTTGGGCCACTGGTGCTCACACACACTGGCCTTGTGTGGCCAGACCATAATCCATCCATTCCTGGAGTGCCTGGATGACCCTCCTTGACCCCCTTCTGGCAGAGCCATGCCAACTCACTGTCACACTAGTGCTATATTAGACCTTGAAAAAACCTGTCCTCACTCCCACCCTGCCGCCCTCTTTCCTCCCAGCTCTGCTTTTCCTTTGGGCATCCCTTTGGGATGAGGGAGACAGGTAGTGTTCCCCAGGCATACCTGTGGGATGATGCCTTGCTGGTCCTTCTCCTGCTTGCCCATCATGGTGTAGGATTTTCCAGCTCCTGTCTGCCCATAGGCGAAGATGCACACATTGTAGCCTTCGAAGGCATGCTGCAGCATCTCCTCGCCAATGTCCCGGTACACTTGCTTCTGGGATGCATAGTTGATGTCTGCAGGCTGCACAGAGGAGGGAGACATGGATAAATTTGGCAAGGAGGCCCTCCTGCCTCTCCCCAGCCCAGCCTTTGAGGCGGGCTCAGGCCTCCCAATGCTTACCGTAGTGTGGGACCAGTAGGAATAGTCAAAGCTGAAGCTTTTTGGTGTCTCTTTGGGCTGTTTTGGGTTCAGGATAGCTAGGGACAAACAGATGGAAACATGAGGCCACCAGCCATCCATGGTACCCCTGTCCCACCCCCCTGTCCCCCTCTCCATGTTGGAGGGATGAAGGGTGATGGGATTCAGTCCAAAACAGTCCTGGAAGGTGGACTGGGACTCTTCCAGCTCTGCAGTTGGGTCCAGAACCCCCAGACCCTAAAATCTGAAAACAGAGGAAGTTGGTGCCATGGCCAGCAGAGCCCAAGGAACAGGACAGAGCCTTGCTCAAACATCCTGCTGAACACAGTGAGGGGGGACATGACTCCTTCCCACAGGTTCCTTCCTGCTGTGGCATCTGCCCGTGGGAGCCCAGCACTGGCACAGGAGGGTCACAGCCTTCTACCCACAGCTGGGCCGGTGTGTCCAAAGCTCCCACGCTGGCACCTGTGGGGTGGGAGCAGCTGCAACCCCGTCAGGGCTCCCCTGGAGCCCCTCTGGCTCCTGCCTCTCCAGGTCCCCAGCCCCAGCAGGGTGATTAATGCCTCGTGTCACACCACCAGCGGAAACAAGAGTCTGCTTTTGTCATCCCCTGATGAAAAGGACGTTGCTATGGAAATTGGAGACTGCATCACTGCTCTTCCTCATGCGATGTTTTTTTCCTCCTGTAGAGCATTTACCATGTGGGGTTTTTTTCTGAAACAACAGATGCATCAGAAGAAACCCAAACCAGCGGGTAATCACGAGATTCAGCCACCAGCCATGTTAGATGACAATGAAGTGACATTGAGGCTTGTGCAGCACAGTTCTGTGCCCACTGCCCCAGCTGCTCCCTGCCACCACCAAGGATGAAGAAGCCATAAGCCAGAGCTTTCTCCATCCCAGCCTGCTCTGCCCTTCAGTCAGCCAGGGCTTGAACCACTCCTGATTCCAGCTGGGGTCCTCCTGAGCAGCCCCACGCATGGTGCAGCTCACTACCCTGGTGTCTGATGCCCAGGTGTGTAGTGTTGCACATACAGATGCTTTCTGCTCTGAATCCCTCCTCCATTACTGCAATGGATACGCCCTCTGCTCCCCTGGAAAGGGTCCACTGCTTCTGATCTGAGCAGACAGCAGCGAGGCAGACTGAGGGAGAGTGGGAAGCAGGGTCAAGATCCAGCCCTGACTACAAAACCACAGCATGGTGCTTCCGAGATGCTCCTTAGCATGGACAGAAGCCCAGATCTGGCACCAAAGAGGTGCCACCTACCTGCTGCAGGCAGCCTGACTCCAATGCTCCTGCACACCTGCTGTGATCCAGGCGGATTAATTACCAGGAGAAAGGGCTGGGAAGTTGCAACTGGCAATCCTGCAGCAGCAAACAGGGATGTGAAGGTCCCTGGAAGAGCAGATCTTTGTGGGCAGCATGGGCGGCCACAGTGGCAGCCCATTCCTGATCCCTGCCAATGCCTGGTTGCTGTGCTGAGGGCAGTGTGAAGAGAAGTAGAGGTTGTGAAAGAAGGGGGATGGAGCATCTCTGATGGCTCCTGGCATTCAGCCTGGCAGCTCCACCATGCCATCTGCTCCCCAGGTCTGTCTCTACCCTGCAAAGGTGACACTGACCACAACAAATGGGAGCAAAAACGAGTGGTGGAGCAGGCAGGATGGAGCAGCACAAGGTTCCTGTTCTGTGTCCCAGTGCCAGCCCATGCTGGGCACAGGGCAGAGAAGCAGCTGGGGATGGCACCAAGCAGCTCCGGGCATCCCAGCTGCAGCTGACCAGCTGCCTAGGGAAACCAGAGACTGGGACACAGGGGAGAAGGGAGTATCCCAAGAGAAGGCATTTCCTGCCCTGAGCTGAAACACTCTTCCCATGCCATTCTCATTTATTTGCCTGCAGGCAGATGGATGCTACTGGTGGAATTGTTCCATTCCTGTGACCAGGCATATAGGACTTTCCTATATGCTGCTGCAAAAGATTGATGCTCTGGGCCACTGGGATTCAAAAGGCAAGGAGGGGTGTGAAGGTGAAGACAAATATAGACACAAGGGAGCAGGAAGTAGGAAAACTTCTGGAGGTGTCCCTTGCTTTGCCCTGAAAAGCCAGCTACATGGTAGAGCCCAGTGAGTGGGCAGGCATGAATCAGGAGAAAGCCCAGAACCCACATCAGAGAAAATAATCACCAGATTTTAAAGCCAGCAGAGACACCGCTCCAGACAGAGAACATGAATGGTTTTGTGGGATCAAAGCCAGAAGTCTCCTCCACACCATCCTGGTAGGAGCCATCAGGAGAGGGGCCGGGAGTTGGTGCCCAGGATGGTGCCCACAGAGTGCAGGACACCATGAGAACAAAGCAGCAGTGTTGGTGAGCAGGTGGGTGGCTGTGGCAGCTGGAAGTTTGCAGGCAAAAGGACAGCAGAGGAAGGCTGATCCCTTCCTACCCTGGGCCCCGCTGCCTCCCACAGGGCTCAGTGCACTAGGCAGGAGAAGAACCTGCCTCCCTGCTCCAGCACATGCAAAGGTCTCTGCAAAAAATCCTGGGAAGGGGAAAACTTGCTCTCACTCCCCTTGAACTTGTCATCTTTGGCTTCCCTGCAAGGAGCTGGGGGGATTGAGACAGTCCTGATCTGCTGGCACTGCTGGCATCCTACTGCCTCCACCAGCCACAGCAGCAGCAGGCTTCTGAGCCCCCCACACTTGTTCCCCAGCCCCCTGGCCAAGAGGATTAGCCAGTGGTTTGTCCATTCACGGAGAAAATCCTCACTGTCAGCAAAGGGCTCCTGCCTGCAGCCCTGCTGCTGTCCCTGGTGCAGGCAGAGGCCCGGGCTGGAGGGGTGGGGGCATAGCCAGGGTGTGCAGGATGAGCAGGGGCAGACAGCTCTGAACAAACACAGCCATGGTGGAAGTGGGGGGATGCCTGATGCTCTTGACTGGGGCATGACAGGTCCCCCCTCCCACCCATCAGAACCAGAATGGGGAACATCCACCCTATCTATTCCCTGGCCCTGGGCAGGTGGGAAGCTCCTGCATGGACAGGAGGCTTCCTCACCATGAGGGCAGAAGCTCTGCACCTCAGGCAGATGGAGAATTCCTGTCCAACCATGAAGGGAGAGCCCCCACAGGATGCCAGAGACCAGCAGATGCTGCCCCACAGACCTCCCATTCCTCCCTCCCTAGTCCTGGGGTGGCCAGGGGGCCCAGTGGGGTCCCAGAGCCACCCTGCACCCTTGGGTGCCATCCTCTCCCCACCAGCAGGGTTGTCATAGCAGCCTGCAGGCGGGGGTGGCTGGCACCGATGTCTCACCCACCATGGGTGACGCAGGCAGCCCCAGGCGGGGGGGCAGGCAGGCAGGGAGTTATTTTAGACACTGCCCCATCTGGAGGCTTCCAGAGCCAAAGAGGAGGGATTTGACTGCCATTCCCACACCACACTGCCAGCAGCTGTTATTTAAAGAGGGGCAAAGGTCAGACAGGCTCCTGACAAGGCATACAGCCCCAAGCCTCCAGGCTACACCCCCACCCTGAGCACACCATTGCCCTGGCAAATCCTCCTCCCTGCCCTCTATCCTGCTCCTGTTGCATCTCCAGGAGCCCCAGAGAAGCAGGGATGGGTTCTGGCACACTGCAATGAGTGGTACCTGGCCTGGCAGTGCTGACAAAAATCACTTGCTGGCCCATACACAGCTTCCAGACCAGGCTGGATGTGGAAGAGCCTGATCTATAGGGGAAGGCTGGGACGAGATCATCTTTAATGTCCCTTCCAAACAAAACCGTCCTGTGATTCTGTGATTCCCCCCTCATTGCCTACTGGGAAGTACTGCCCCTTCTACCAAAGTCCAAGGGCTCAGTGCCATGTAGATCCCACCACTGCCATTTCAACAGCAGGACAGCATTTCTCCATGGAAAGCTGCTATCCTCCCCACATTTCCTCCTCCAAATGACTCGAGATGCTTCAGGCATCCTCACCAAGGATCCCTGCAGGCCAGGTACAGCTTGTTGCAGTGGCCACACCACACGTGCTCCTTCCCAGGCAGCACCCAAAGCCCCCTGCCCCTGAGGCACTCACTGGTGGTGCTTCCCGACATCTGGATAATGCATTTCGATTCCCGGCTCATCTCCCGGGAGTTGAAGGGCCGGACGCGCACTGCCACCTTCACGGACGCTCCCGCCATGGCGCTGCCTGGACGTGGGTCCTGCTAGTCAGGAGCAGTGGCTGTCCTGCAAAAGGGAAGAAAAGGGAAAATTTGCACTTCAATACACATCTTGCAGCTGTGCAGGATGAATGGAGAGCCTGTGTGAGGAAACCTCCTGGGAGCACTGTTTACCTCTGCCTGAAAGATGACATTTTGTTTCATACCTTGATATGCCCTGATTTTACCTCTCCCTTCTCCCTGTCCTACCCAGCTCAGTCCCAGGGGGCACCCCTGTCCTTACCCCAGGGTGGCACTGGAGCCTCCATCACACTGCAGCAGCACTTGGTGGGCACCCACAGCAGCAGACAGAGCCCTGTAGGCACTGCCAGCACCAGCATAACCCCCAAGGAGCAGCGTTTCCATCCCAGAGTGCCAAAGGCACTGAGCAGGTACCCCCTAATCTGCAAGCAAGTCCATAGGCCTGTTACCTGAGCCTCCTGCCTCCACTGCAAGCCCAGCAGAGCAGGGACTGGGCAGCAGGACACAATGGGCAGGGAGGAAAGCGATGGCATTCCATTGAGAAAGGAGGCGGTTGTCGAGCGCAGCTGCTGGCATGTGCCTCCCATTCAGCTCCCACAAAGCAGACGTGCAGTATCAGCACCAGCAGGCCTTCCTGGGAAGCCAGTGGCCATTGCACTCAGCTGAAGCCCCTAGTTTACCATCATATTTCCTGTCCTTTTGCTAAAAATTATTAATTGCAAATCTCACAAGGCAAAACAAACCCCTCACAACATCTCCCAGTTGTCCATCCCAGCACTGATGCCCAGTGCTCTGCAGGCCATTCCCACCTTCCCTCAGCTGCAGTTAAGCCTCAAACAATGGCCAGAAAATGATACTGGGATCCTTCTACATCCTTCAGGATCCTTTTGGACCTGACAAAATCGCTTCCTGCCTTTTAACATCTATTCCTTTTCCTGCCTTTCATGGCTCCCTGGCTCCCCGTGCTGAGCCTGGTGGTGAAAATGGAGCACAGGATCTCTCAGGAAATGGGTAGGAACTGCTCCTCTGGCATCCCACCTGCAAGGTTGTGTGTGAATTCCCTAATGCTTTTCAAGCCTAGGTTTTGCCAGCAGGATATTTGCTCTGGGAGGAAGGAGATCAGGGAGAAATGAGATTGTTAGGGAGCACCGTCACAGCTCTGGTTACATGGGCCATGACCAGAAGGAAGTGGAGCAGTAAGGAGGGATCTTGAACATGACATGTGTTTTCTCCATAGTGGAAATGAAAAATTCAGGAGAATTTGTGGAAGAGTGGGGGAGAAAGGGAAGAAAAAAACAAATTCACAGAATAGAAAGTATCCCAAGAGAAGGGGATGGCTTTAAACTTAAAACTATCTGAGGTTTGACAGCTGTGGTTTGTTTTCCAAGGGGGTGAGAGGAAACCTTAGACAGTGGAAAAATTTGCATCAGGAAAGTGTTACAAGCTTGGCACTGCCTTTCAGAAACCCTTTGCCTATTTTATAAGTGAGCTGGCATGTCCAGCAGCACGCAGAGGACAAAGCTTCTTCTGTTGGAGTTCCCAAGCCCTCCTCTTATCTTCCCGCTGGGATGGCTCTGGAGCTCCCACTGTGCTCAGCCAGTGATCACATCCATAAATTCCAGAATTCAAACATTTGGTCTCAGGCTTTCTTGAGCTTGAATTATTTTAAGCAGGTGTTTAACACCTCCCTTGAGTCCCTAAGCCAGCAAGTGGGCTGCTGCCTGCCAGTGGCCTCTGCCTACCCACTCGGATGGGGGAAAGGAAAAGTTAAACAGGAGTGCTTGCCAAAGGGAATGAAGGAATTGTTTCTCCCATGAAACCATTGGATATATTCCCATGGGGAAGGGCTGCATCTTCTCGAGGCCATCTCAAGCTGCTCCTCCCTGTGGCACCACTCAAGGACAATGGATTCATCCCCAGGCCAAACCCATCTGCACCTGATAACTGTCCATGCCAAACATTTCACTCTCCTCCCAAGCCAAGACAGCTCCCTTCCCCAGCTCTGCAGCCTCTCCAGCTACCAGGGCTCTGAAGAGGTGGGTCAGATCCCTGGACTCCTGACTGCTGCACAGCCCCAGAATAGCAACACCCACCAGTGACCCCACCAGCCCCAGGACTACCTGCTGCCTGCACGGGCCACCTCAGCCCCTGCTCTTATCCCCTCCCACCCCCGTGCCATTCCCAGCCACTCAGCCCCATCACTTCCCATGAAGAAACTCTGGTTTCTCCTCTGAACCATGTGCCTCATCCTTTTCCATGTGCTTCATCCTGCTGTGTACCTTCCACTGCTGCTGATTTCCTTTCTTTGCCTTCTTCTGCCCGGTCAGCCCCACACCCCATACTCTCACCACTGCTGGCCATGAGAAACACCCTTCTCACCAGCAGGACCTTTTCTCTCTCACTGCCATCCACAGGCTACATCCCAGTGTATCACCATCTGGCTCTCCTTGCCCAGGGGTGTGAGCTCCTCTCCTGGCCAGTATTCCGTGCTGCAGAGCCCCAGTTCCATTTCCTGCTCCATCCATTTCCCTCAGCTTCCTTGGCTGGCAATGCACTGTTTCCCTCTGCTCCTCTGCAGCTCTCCAGTTCCATCCCTGCCACGGCAGCACAAGGACCCCAGGTGACATCGTGTGCCCTTGGGGACCACCAGCAGACACTGACCCAGCTGCTTCTCATCCTCCTTTCCTTCCCTGGCTCAGCTGCAGGGAGGAATTCAGCCTGTGCCCATGGCATCACTGGTCATGGGCACTTGGCATCCTGTAAAGAGAGGGGCCAGGCTGCAGTGGGCAGGGCCAGGGGTAGGGCCAGGCAGCTCCCCCAGCCAGTGGGCAGCTCGAGCCCGGCCAGCTCACTCTGCCTGAGGGCAGCCAGAGCAGCCACCGCCTGCTTAATCTGCTGCCATCGAGAGAAATTCGATAAACCACGACCAGCCTTTTGATGGGAGTGAGCCAGCAACGAAGCCCCGCTCCCTGTTCCCTCCCTGCCACCTCCCAGGGCTACCCTACACACAAGGGAGGTTGCAGAGAGGAACAGCCAAGTCCCTGGGGCCTGGAGGAACATCTAGACCTGTCCCCCAATTCTGCAGGGTGTCTCTTCCCCCACTTCCCGTGTTGCCTGCTGGCTCTGCCCACCCCTGTGACCCACCAGCCACCCCTAGGGAGGAGCAAAAGGCCTGGAGAGCCACGATTAACTGGATCAGCTAAGATTAATTGGGCAGAGATTAGCTAATGAAACCACTCTTAAATCCAAGGGCTACGAACTGGCAGCCTCTCCTGCTGAGAGGTGACCAGTAAGACAGGGAGCATTGTCCCCAAGTGCCACCAACCACCAAGCTCTTCCCCAAAGGATGCTGAGGAACGTGCTCTGCTGCCAGTCCCTCAGCTCCAGCAGATGACGAGGGAAATCCAAGGTGAGTTTCCCTTTGTCTGCATGCATCCAGCCCCACGTCACCTCAGTGACTCAGTACTCAGACGCCCCATTTGGCTGCACCGGTGTATTCTCAGCAGCTGCCAGGCTTTGTTACGGTCAGCCCTTCCCCTGCACCCTTTGTTGGGGCCCCCCAGCTCTGACTGGGACCATGGGACTCTGTCCTGCCTCTAGGGCAGCAGGGAACACGTTGACAGATGACACGGCAGCGTCAGTGCCTGCCAGCCAAGCTCCTCACCCACCTCCCGCCCCACACAGGACAAGGGGCCATGATGGTGCAGTTTTCTCCCGAGCAGCACCTGCCAGGCAGGGAAGCAGCTCAGAGGACAGCCCAGGACAAGGGCAAATTTCCCCCGTGCTCAGATGAAATCCAGCCCCTGCTTCCCTGGTGCCATCACAGGCACCCTGCCCATTGCCTCTTCACATCCTGCCCACCCCAATGTGGGACAAAGCTTCAGGGCAGGGTTTGCAGCTCCCTGAGAATTTCCATGCACATTCAGTTTACAGGTAGCTAATGTAAGAATGGATGAGGGTTTGTGTTCCCCATCTCTGCTGCAAAGTAACCCCACCCCCATCCCTGCTCCCTCCATCCTCTCTTCCAGACACTCAAACCCAAAGCAGGGAAAAGCTGCACAGAAAAGGCAGTGAGCTCCAGTGGGTGCCCAGCATTGCTGGGAACGGAGAAAGGTAGCAAGGGAGGGGGCAGACAACAGATTCCTACAAGACCCAGGGCTTGAGGGGCTGCAGCTCTTACCACATGCAGGGAGGTGGAGGGCGGTGGCAGCATCTTTGCCAACGCCAGCTGCCACCTCCCAGACAAAATGGAGGTCAGCAACAGCATGCCGAGATGGCAGAGCCACCACACCCCTGGCCATACCCAGGGGAGGGGGAGGGTCTGCTGCCTCCCTGCCCCCCAGTGCCACGGAGGCCAGCTGCGTGGGGCTGCTCTGGGCGCTGGGATAGGACGGGCGCCTGGGAGATGCTCGGCTTGGTCCTTGTCCTCCCCGAGCCCTGATGCTGTCGCATGGCACCTGAGCAGGCAGGAGATCGGCTCACACGGGGGTCTGCAGGATCCAGGGGAGGGGTCACTGCCCCGTGAAGGGGGAGGAGGAGGAGGAGGAAGAGCAGGAGAAGGAAGCAGAGGAGTAAGACAATATGTCAGGTGCAGGGCTGCTCTCTGCGGACCTGGATGACCAAGCGTGGAGCTCTGCACCCCGGGACCTGCCCCTTCAACAGCCGGCAGCCACTGCACTGGCCCGCAGTGACATGGCGGCCCTCGTCCAGCCACTCCACAGCGCAAGGTCACCGGCAGCTGCTCGTCCTTGGGGGCCCAGAAGAGCTTTAGCATCGCAGCATCTTTGCCAGCTACCCGCGGTGAGAGCCCCAGGTGGGGCATCCGCCACTCCCTCCAGCGCTGCTGTTTAACTCTGAAGCATTATGATGATGACGCAAGATGGCTCAGCTGCATAACCACAGCCATCTGCCCCGGAGGGGAGAGCAGGGTTAGCTCTGGGGTACAAGGAGTTCCTGTGCCCCCGCCATGGGCTGCGGGGCATCCTCCCCCTTCGCACCCTGGCTGGG